ATGCCTATCCTGGTGGGTGGATGCACATTGGGGGGCACTCAAACACCTGGAGAGCCCTAGGGAAGGGAGTTTCTAGAGTAGGGGAGGTGACAGAATCTTAGGTGGGTCCCCAGCCTCTGGTGCTGGCTGGGCCCAGTGGGAATAGCAGGAGCTTCGGAACATGAGTTTAGACATTGATCTTTTAGAAATGGGACCTAGGAGTTCTGCCTCAGAAGCCCCATTTTCTGTCTTATGAGGTGAGGACAGACACAGCTGCCACTTCCTTGGGCCTGGGGGAGGAAATGGGCTGGTGTTTGTACAGCTCTTGCTGAGCATTGCACTGTACACAGTAGGTGTTGGAGGCCGTTTTGTGGAGCTGGCATGTCTCCATAGGTGCTTTGAAGAGGAAGGGGTCGTGCTCCAGTCCAAGCCCAGTGCACTGAAAGTCGCGCTTACTGCCCTCCCTGTCTGTGTAGTTATTGGGGTGATTGCTGTTACACACACAGAAGGCTGTCTTGTGATATATTCTCCAGTCACCCAACAGGTTCATCATGCACTGCACATCGAGTGCAGATGTCCAGCCTGACGTGCACATGGCTGACTTGACGCTCCCTGCGTAGTAGGGTGCTGTGGTCAACAGACCAGGTCTTTGCTAGAGAGACTGCACGGAGCTGTGTGTGGCCAGCAGGGTCTGGGCTCCTGTGGATCAGGCAGCTGCAGCCTCACCTGTTCGTAGCACTTGTTCGTCTGTCAGCTTTCTGCTCCCTGAGGTTGCTGGCTTTGGGAACACGTCATCCATGTCCCTCCTTTTACCCTTTGGCAGCCTCTCTTCATGACAGCAGGTGACTGATGGGGCCTGTGTTATGTTGGTTCTGTGTGCTTGTCTGCCAACCTGTGCACTGTGGGCAGGGACTGGCCAGGCAGCCCATCCTTGGACATTTGTTCGAAACTCATGTTAGACCCAGGTATGTAGTCAGTTTTCAGGAATGTTCCATGGATGGTAGGAAAGAATCTGAGCCCTGTGGGCCCCCGAGAGGAAGCCTGGTTAGGCAAACCCTCTCTTCTGTCCTAGAGGTTCTGTCCAGCGCTTGTCTCCTAGGATGTGGGACGGCCTGTTTGTAGCAGCACCTCTGCCTCACATTCACTGAGCTGCACCAGCTTTCTCGTCAGTGTAGCTTGTCCCTTATTGACTTTCAGAATTTCACATCCTTATGTTTTAAGTGTATCTGGTATAAAGCCCATATCTGGACTTTTATTTTATTTTTAAAATTTATTTATTTTTGTTACAGATGTTTCTCCTTTTTCTCCCACTGATTCCCCCCTCCCTGCCCTGTCCCCAGCTTTGTTGTCCATGTCCATTGTTCATGCATACATGCATATAAGTTCTGTGGTTTATCTCTCCCCCACCACCCCCTGTTCTGGGGATTGTCAGTCTGTACCCCACTTCCACGTCTCTGGGACTACCCCATTCCTCAGACTGTTATGTTCATTATATTCCACAATGATACTTGTCTTTCTCTGTTTGGCTTGTTTTGCTTAGGATAATACTTTCCAGGTCCCTCCATGTTGTCTCAAAGGATAAGAGATCTTTCTTTCTTACAGCTGCATAGTACTCCATTGTGTATATGTACCACAGCTTTTTTATCCATTCGTCTACTGATGGACATTTGGGCTGTTTCCAGATCTTAGCTTTTGTAAATAGTGCTGCTATGAACATGGGGGTACATATATTCTTTCTGATTGGTGTTTCAGGCTTCTTAGGGTATATTCCTAGAAGTGGGATCACTGGGTCAAATGGTAGTTCAAGTTTTAATTTTTTGAGGTAACACCATATTGTTTTCTATAGTGGCTGCACCAGTCTGCATTCCCACCAGCAGTGTTCTAGAGTCCCTTTTTCTCCACACCCTCGCCAACACTTGTTGTTTGATGATTTGTTGATGGCAGCCATTCTGACAGGTGTGAGGTGATAACTCATTGTAGTTTTAATTTGCATCTCTCTGATGATTAATGATGTTGAGCATTTCTTCATATGTTTCTTAGCCATTTGTATGTCCTGTTTGGAGAGGTGTCGATTTAGTTCCTCTGCCCATTTTTTAATTGGGTTCTTTGTCTTCCTTTTGTTGAGTTTTATGAGCACTCTCTATATATTGGAAATTGACCTCTTATCTGATATATCATTGGCAATTGTGCTCTCCTATACAGTGGATTGCCTTTCCATTTTGATGATTGTATCTTTTGCTGTGCAGAAGCTTTTTAGTTTGATGTAGTCCCATGTGTTCATTTTCTCCTTTGTTCCTGTTGCCTTAGGTGATGTATCATTGAAAATTCTGCTGCGTATGATGTCTGAAATTTTGTTGCCTACATTTTCTTCTAGGATTTTTATGGATTCACAGGTCACATTTAAGTCTTTTACCCATTTTGAGTTTATTTCTGTGTATGGTATAAGTTGATGGTCTAGTTTCATTTTTTTGCATGTAGCTGTCCAATTTTCCCAACACCATTTATTAAAGAGGCTGTCTTTACTCCACTGTATGATCTTGCCACCTTGGTCAAATATTAATTGAGCATATTGGGTCCATTTCTGGATTCTCTATTCTGTTCCACTGGTCTATATGCCTGTTCTTATACCAGTACCAGGCTGTTTTGATTACAGTGGCTTTGTAGTATAACCTGAAGTCCGGTAATGTTATCCCTCCAACTTTGTTCTTCTTTTTCAAGATTGGTGTGGCTATTCAGGGTCTTTTTTTGGTTCCATGTGAACTTTTGAAGTGTTTGTTCTAGTTGTGTGAAGTATGTCGTTGGTATTTTGATGGGGATTGCATCGAATCTGTAGATTGCTCTGGGTAGTGTGGACATTTTAATGATGTTAATTCTTCCAATCCATGAACAAGGTATGTGTTTCCACTTTTTTATATCTTCTTCTATTTCTTTTTCCAATGTCCTGTAGTTTTCTGCGAATAGGTCCTTTATTTATTTGGTTAAGTTTATTCCTAGGTATCTTAATTTTTTTGCTGTGATGGTAAATGGGATTGTTTTTTTAGTTTCTCTTTCTCTCGGTGTATAAGAATGCCATCGATTTCTTGACGTTAATTTTGTATCCTGCTACTTTGCCAAATTTATTTATTAAGTCTAGTAAATTTTTGATGGAGTCTTTGGGGTTTTCTATGTATAGTATCATGTCATCTGCGAATAATGAGTTTCACTTCCTCCTTTCCAATTTGGATCCCTTTTATTTTTTCTTCCTGTCTGATTGCTGTGGCTAAGACTTCCAATACTATGTTAAATAAGAATGGCGAAAGTGGACATCCTTGCCTTGTTCCTGTTCTCAAGGGAAATGCTTTTAATTTATGCCCATTGAGTATGATGTTGGTTGTAGGTCTGTTATATATGGCCTTTATTATGTCGAGATATGATCCCTCTATTCCCAGATTGCTGAGTGTTTTTATCAGAAATGAGTGCTGGATTTTGTCGAATGCTTTTTCAGCGTCTATTGATGTGATCATATGAATTTTATCCTTCATTTTGTTTATGTGGTATATCGCATTTATTGATTAGTGAATATTGTACCAGCCTTGCATCCCTGGGATGAATCCCACTTGGTCATGGTGAATAATTTTTTTGATGTATTGCTGGATTCGATTTTCTAGTATTTTGTTCCATATCTGGACCTTCAAAAATCTTGTCTGAGCTCTGGCCGGTTTGGCTCAGTGGTTAAAACGTCAGCCCGCGGACCAAAGAGTCTCAGGTTTGGTTCCGGTTAAGGGCATGTACCTTGGTTGCCGTTTGGTCCCTGGCCCTGGTCGGGGTCGTGTGGGAGGCAACCAATCAATGTGTCTCTCTCACAGCAATGTTTTTTTTCTTTCTCTCCCTCTCACTCTACCTGAAAACAAATAGAAAAATATCCTCAGGTGAGGATTAATAATAAAATAAAAAATAAAAATCTTGTCTGATGATGTTTATCTCACCTGGGCCACTGGTTCATTTTCGTTTAGTCAGGTTCTTCTATTTGACTTTATTTCTGTCATCTCTATTCTAAGTTGTCTTGTCATTTGGGACAGGTTGCTTTTTTCCTTTCTTAACTTTTGGATTTTTTTACTTTTTTTTTTTTCTCCTCTGCTAGATTGGAATTCATTCACTCGGCTTCTATAGTGGCTGCCCCAGATGTCTTATTTATTTATTTATTTATTATTTTTTAATCCTCACCCAAGGATATTTTTCCATTTATCTTCAGGTAGAGAGAGATGGTGAGAAAGGGAGAGAGGGACACTTCAATTGTCTGCCTCCCACATGACCTTGACCAGGGCTGGGGACGAACCGCAACCAAGGTACGTGCCCTTGGTGGGAATTGAACTCGGGACTCATTGGTCTGTGGGCTGATGCTTTACCACTGAACCAAACCAGCCAGGGCTGCCCTGGATGTTTTAACACAAAGAATTCATTTCTCAGCATCTAAACTTAACCTGTATTTTTACTGCTCTCCAAACAATCCAGAGACTTTAGAACACTGTGAGTGTGGTGACTTCCAGCCTGACCCCCTCGTGTCCCACCTCCTGCCTGGTTCACACCTGGTGCCTGTGGCCTCGGCCTTGGGGTATCTCCCAGGCTCATCACCTGTCCTGTCCCAGGCTTTCTGTCCTCTGCTGCTGCTTTCAAGCTGCACAGACCCTCCAGATCTGCTGTCCTCGGATGCCTATTCCTGGTTTTACTTAGTGTTTGCACACTCGAGGTTCTGAACTATCTTCTTAACTCATCATTAGGCTTAATGTTTTTTAAAACATAGTTTAACACTCTCATATTGTTTGTCTGTTCTTTCTTAGAGGCTGAGCAAAGCTATCTCATCATTATTGTGACAGAAATGGATGTGCTTGCTCCACATATTTAGCTCCAGTAGGTGTTGGGGGCCAGCACTGTTACTCCTGGTCCTCCCACTGGTCTGGCCATGCTTTGCCCTTCTGGGAAGTTGCTGGCCCTTCCGTTACTGGGAGTTGGAAGAAAAAAGCCTGTGACAGTCAGAGTTGGTGAAATGTTTCTTGTATTTATCAACAGTTTTCTGGAAACTCTAGCAGGTAACTAGAAGGGACTCCCCCAGAGACATAGGAGGCCCTTCAGACACCGCTGCTGACAGTGCAGCCCCCAGTGAGCTGCCTCTTCGCAGGGCTCTGCCCAGCTGCATGGGTTTGTGTGTTCGTGGGAACAGTCAAACTGCATTTGAGAAATGTCTTCTGGCCTTTCACCTTGGGGGACAGGGACATTCTGGGGGGGATTCTGGGCTGTATTCTGGAGCACCACCTTCAGAGTGAGTCAGACCTCCCACAGGATGTGGGGTCCAGCCTCCTGGGGGATGACCCCTGACTTTGGCGGGTGGGGTGCTGTTTTGTTGTAGTTGCTCACCCCACCCAAGGGTTCCTTGGCGGCCATGGGCTGTGGGGAGTCTTGGGACATCCCGTCATTGCATTGGCCCCTTCTTCCCTTATAGTCACCATCTTCAGGTCACAGATGTGGAAGTGGCTCTTGGAGAGGTTGGAGGCAGGGCCAGGTACAGGGGTTGCCATGTGGTGGAACATGTCCCTGAGGGAAGGAGGAGCAGCACGCAGAGAGGGCCACTCCAGACCGCCAGGCCTGTTCCTGTTGGTTACACACGTGTCCACACACACGGTCACAATGTGCTCATACATACATACGTGTCTACACATGGTCACAACGTGCTCTCTTGTGTTCATACATACACACGTGTCCAAAAATGGTCACAACGTGCTCTCATGTGCTCACACACATGTGTCCATACACACGGTCAACACTACCCAGTATATGCAAGCAGAGCTGCCAACCTGGCGGGTAGGAGGGTGTGGGGCCACCCTAGGGATGGGGTGGGGTGGCAACGCTTGGGTGTGAGGAGCAGACGCCACAGGCCTCGTCTGCGGGAGGAGTGTTGCCAGGTTCCAGGAGCAGATTGCAACTTCCTGGAGCTCATTCTCCACACAGGCTCATGAGGAGCCAGCACAGAGCGTCTTCTGTTCCAGAGCCTGCGTGGGAAGTTGGCATCAAGGACCTTCTCGCCCACGCACGACGGAAACTTTCCCACAGTGGGGATGGGGGGAACGGCAGGAGGCCTGGATGGCGATTAGGGGGCCCCAGAACATGGTGTGTAGGAGCCGGCATCTTGTCCTGCTCTGGGTGTGTCCCTCACCCACCAACTGTCCTGCTGTCTCATCCAAAGCTCAGAGCATCAGGCCAGGTCTTATAAGCGAGTGACCCTGGACCACTGTCTGCTCATTTGTGGAAAGAGGACTGAGGTAGAGGGCAGGGTGGCCACATGGGCCCCAGGTGGGAAGAGTCCACAGAGGTGCTGTGCCTGCAGCTGCTGAGAGCATGGCATGTGCTCAGCAAAGGGCAGCTGTTGTCAAGTGAATTTTTTTTTTCCTTTATTGATTTTTTTTTTCTTTGCTCAGATGGAGTAGGAGGGAGAAAGACAGGAAGAGAGAGAAAGAGAAACATCGATGTAAAAGGGACATATCGAGTGGCTGTCTCCTGCATAACCCAACCAGGGCCCGGGACAAACTGCAACCGAGGTACATGCCCTTAGCGGGAACCAAACCCAGGTCTCTCTGGACCGCAGGCCAACACTCTAACCACTGAGCCAAACCGGCCAGGGTTTGGTTTTGTTTTTGTTTTTAAAGAGAAAGGAAGGGAGGGGGAGAGAGAGTTAGAAACATCAATGAGAGAGAACATCAATTGGCCGCCTTCTGATTGTCCCCCACTGGGGATTTGGCCCATGACCTGGGCATGTATCCTGACCAGGAATCGATCTGGCAACCTCTTGGTGCATGAGTCAACGCTCAACCAGTGAGCCACACTGGCTGGACTCAAGTGAATTTTTGCGTGAAGTTACTGCTCTGTGGGTGCCGGGCACTCTCCAAAGGCAGGGACTCCAGGAGGAAAGTGACAATGTGGGCTGGGAGGCCCTCAGTGAATACCGACCCCATTTCTTCACACAGATGTCAGGTTCTGGGGCTAGCCTCCTCCCCATGGGGAAGCATGTCACCAGAGGCCCGAGTCCTCAAGGAGCAGCCCATGGCAGAGGGGCAGGGAGCTGGGGTGTTGTTTGCTGGGGGCTCTGAACTCTCAGGGCTAGGAAGGCAGGACTGCTCCTCTTTGTCATCTGAGAGGTCTTGGTTGGGGTGACTTTTAAGGTAATGAACCACTTTCAAGTGAGAGGTCTGCATGGAGCATTTTGTGGGAGTCAGCCAGGATAGACTACAAGGGTGCGGGGCCCTTCTGCAGGATGGCAGCTGTCTTTCCCAGGAAATAGGCAGCAAACCCACACTAGGAGGCTGTGACGTGAGTTCTTTTTTAAAGGCTCATACGAGGTCACTGAGCAGAAGAGAAGGGTAGGGAAGGGACAGGCATCTTCTCTACACTGTGACACCCCCCCCCCCCGCCAGGAGCCTGTTGGGCAGCCCCACCTGCACAGACAGGTGAGAAATGTAGGCTTGGGGACCTTGAGAAAAGTTGCAATGACCACTGATAGAAATTAAAACTATATTATTGAAAATACAGTTTTGAAAGTAAGTGCACATGACAAAGGCAGAGCGTAAAACTACGGAAAGAAAATAAACTAGAAGTGGGGTGAGAGAAATGACCTGAACACAAGAAAATGTTTCATATCCCACTATTGAAAAGCACAAGGCTCAGCTCACTTCATCTCACAGGACAGGTGCAGTCGTGGGCACAGGGAGGTGGGCTGGGCTGCCTGGCACTCCTTTATCTATGTTTTCAGTTTTCCTGTGTAATTTTAAGATTTCTTTTCCTCACGGTTCCCTTTTTTTTTTTTTAAATCCTCACCTGAGGACATTTTTCCATTTTTTGTTCAGATAGAGTGGGAGGGAGAGAGAGGAAGAGAGAGAGAGAGAGAAATATCGATGTGAAAGGGACACATCGAGTGGCTGCCACCCACACGACCAACCAGGGCCAGGGACAAACTGCAACCCCGAGATACGTGCCCTTAGCGGGACCCGAACCCGGGTCTCTCTGGACCGAAGGCCAATGCTCTAACCACTGAACCAAACCGGTCAGGGCAGGTTCCCTATTTTCTCCTGGGTGCCTCCTTGTAGCATCTGTGGCCTGCGGCAAGGCCAGCCTGCTGGTGTCCCTGTGCCTGGTAGGCCCTTGCTGCCTTGGCCCAAGGGAGCTGCACACTTGGCCCAAGTATGTCCCACCTTCCTCTGCCTGCCACTCTCTTAAGCCATTTTTTCATTTGAAAGGAGACTTCTGTTAAGAAAGCAGCCAGTTATTTCATTTAGTGTTTGTTGATTCGCTGGGCAAAGGTTTAGGCACTGGGGATGCAGTTGTGAGCAGAGACATTATCCTAATTTCAGGTGTTCTTAAACCATCACAATGAGGTTTCGGTAATAAGAACATCCTCTGCAAAAAAGTGCTGCTGGCTCTCCCTCCCCTGGGGACCCAAGTCCCTCTGTCCTGGTGTCTGAGGTCACCGTGCTGCCTTCAGCACCCCTGCTAAAGCCCCTGAATCACCATATTGGGGGGGAAGCCAAGCTGGAGGGGGCAGAGTAGGGGCAGCGACACGGAGACCTCTGACCCTGTGGGCCCGAGGTGATAGGTGACAGTAGTGTTTGTCTTTGCGCAGCCTTACAGGCCCAGAGCTGCTGCTCCTCCATCACAAAGCCCTGTCTCTGCTGTTGTCATGTCTCTCAAAGCCCAGTGGGGCGGCGCCGTGTTGCTGGAGGGTTTTGGGAACAAGCTGGGACCTTGGTGTCGGCTGTCTTTGGTCACGGGCCAACTTCTCTAGTCCGACCACTGGCTTGTGAACAGATATTTTGTTCTCTTTAAATGGTCCCACAGGGGCCCCTGGTGCCGTTGTGTTGGTACGAGAAGTCCAGAAAGTCATGGGTGTTGGGGGTGTGGCTGTGAACCCAGGGGTGTGTGTGTCCTGACTGCCTGCCCTGTGGCCCCTGCTCCAGGCAGAAGCAAAGGCCATTCCCAGAGAGGCAGTTTTCTGAGTGCTTCAGCAACACCACCACCCTCAGATCTGCTTTCACTGTACAGTGTAGCTCCACATACATGTCATTTCTCTGTGGGGTGGGTCTAACACTGCCCCCAGTAAAGTTTGGAAGCTGGTCTTGCTCTGTGAGCCGATTCCTTGACTTGACGATAGGTTAGGTCACAGTTTTAATGGTAAGGGTGGCCATCCTGTGGAGCCAGGGAGGTGAAGTGAGCAGCTGCTGCAGAGGCGCGGATGTGGAGATGCCAGCCACCCTGCCCGGTGCAGAATGGGGCATTGTGCCTGCCACTCAGAGCCCAGCCTGCAGACGTGAAACTGAGAGCGCTCATTGTTCCCACTGGAGAAACTTAGGAAAACAGCATTGAGAGTGGAACTCGGGCCTCTGGAAACCATGGCTGAGTCAACACTTGTTTATTCACTGAAATGAACAAAAAGATTGAAAAATAGGGAACAAGATTGAAGTCAGAGGAGGATGTCAGCCGACTGGGAGGAGTGAAAGCCAGAGCCTTGAGCAGGACTGAGTTTGCACTTAACAAAGAGGACTTTTAGGGACACCAGTGATGACGTGGACTTGACAGATGGGGCCTGTGATCCTGGTGGGAGTAGGAGAACCCGGACATGGGCATCCGATGAGGGAGGTGAGCTGCCAGAAGAAGCTCAGGTGCTCCACCTGCATTTTCTATAAGAAACTGGGAATGAGACAAGGGAAATCACAACTCACTGTAGAACTGTCGACTTCCAGCAGTTTCTTGGGTCTTGTTACTGGCTGCCAGTGCTGGCGGAGATGAGTGGCCTCTGCTGTCCTGGGACACAGCTCCATGGACTTGCCTTGAGGGCCAGCAGTTACCCTGAAGGAGCTGTTGCCAGAGGGCCTTCTGTGTGCCAGTGGAGCTACCCACCCACCCTCCCCCCTCGTAGCACCAAGGCCTTGATGGTCCTTTAGAAACCCTCAAGACTCTCTTGCTGGCACCAGAGGAAACAGGGTGTTGCTGTGCGGCGGATAGAGAGACAGCCTGCAAGTGCAGCCAGCCCGAGCAGAGCACTCAGGGGAGGCAGCCCCATCAGGTGAGGGTGCAGGGCTCTTTGCCTTCCATTTGAGTTGGGTTTCTAGCTCTTGCAACCAAAAAATGTCCTAATATTAGCCACTCATTTTCAGAACAGAGCCTATAAGAAAATTTGGCAATAGAGCATTCTAGAACAACACAATGGTTTTAGTCTGCCCTAAGTCCTGGCCCTTCCTTATTTAAAGATGAGCAGTAATCAGAAGCCAACAATGGACCCTCATGTAGACACTAAGAAAGAGAGAAGAAAAAAGGCAATGAGTACAATGGAACAGCTGGTAAGAAGACAGTTAGAAGAACTAACCCAGAAGACAGAAGGACATTTTTGATAGAACTTTCTCTGTGTACTAAAAATAAAAATTCAAAATACATAAATAAAGAGAAACGAACTCTAAGACAAGATTAGCCAAAAGACACAATGTGAGAGAACTAAGAAAGAAAAAGACAAAAAATACCGTTACAAACCTGAGAGCCCAGTTAGCAACAGCAAGTCACAGGATGGATGTGGCTGGGAAAGAATTGGTCATCAGAGGACAGGCTGCTCAAAAGAACATGCTTCATAGAGGAAAATAGAAAAAAATGTGGTCAGAGAGACCAGAATGGAGGGACTGTAGGAGGCCTGGGAGCCATGGTGGGTATCGGAGTCAGAAAAGAGACAGTGTCCAGCGTGTGAGGCACCAAGTAAAGCTGGGCCTCCTAGGACCGAAAACTGGGAGACACTGCATGTTGAGAGGGGCCATCATGTTCCTGGAAAAATTGGAATGAAACGACTAGTGCTAGGAAGGACCTGCTAAATTAACTAATTGTATTGTGCAACCCGCCTGCCTCCTACATGTTCTAGAGGCAGCAGAGAAAAGGCAGCCTGAGGGCTGAGAAGCATATTCTTCAGGTGGCTTTCTTGCTGGGTGCCAGCCTGGGGCGCCCCACTTGGCTGAGGTGTGTGCAGCTTTGCAAACATGGTCTCATGGAGAGTCCCATGCCCTCCTGATGGGCAAAGTAGCTACATAGATTGTTTTTTTTGCAGATGAGCTGTGTCTCTTCTCCCCGTTTTACTTAGTTATTTATTTATATCAGTATTGACTTTTGGATATTTCTTTTATACCTTAGGTTATAATCCGACATAATTTTGGTTTTGTTTGTTTTTTTGCTCAAATTGCTCCAGCACTGATCATTTGGAATGCTTCCTGTTGGCTTCGTTGTCTCTGTGCCAGACCCCATCAGGCTGGGGTTTTGTTTTTGTTTAGCTCTTTGCATCTTGTGTCCTGCCCTAGTCATCTTAGCCATGCCTCCAGGGGTTCCTGGCTCCTGTCACTGTAGAATGATGTCAGAGCCAGGATCTGGGCTGGGTGTGCTAGTAGCTATGGGATGTTGTTCTAGGCCATCTTAGCTATCACAGCAAGGAAATATATGTGTGTATATTGACTTATGTATGTACACATGTAAACATTTCTAGATGTAACCATCTGTGTCTATGTTCCACTAAACACGACTTTCTACTGATGTCTCCCAGTCTAATCCATCCACACTGGGGTCACTCTAGACTCCTCCCCTTGCCCATCTGTAACCTTCCACTCCATCAGCAACAAGCCTTTTGTCTAATTGCTCAGTTCCCATATACACACATCTCAGTATCAGAATTATAAACCATGCTCATGGGAAGCAATATCATCACCCAGAAGATGGATTAACAGGGATCAGATTTACCATCCCCCTGGAGGTAATAAAAAGCTGGACCACGTATATGAAATCTTGGTTTTCTAAACTTTGGTTATGAGTCAAGGATGCACTGTGATTCCTGCAAGGCGAGAATCAAACAAGATGAGGCTAATGATTGCCCCAGCCTAGTACATTAAGGAGTTTCTAGGTTGTGTTGCAAGGAGCCTAGAGGACTCCCTGAATTCAAGAGATGGAGCTTAGGGTCCAGGGTGACTGAAGTGACTAGAGTTTGCAGGAGTGTTACCACAGAGCAGAGAGCTGTAAACAAAGAACTTGGAGATGTTCAGAGGACCTGCCTCAGTTTCCAGCAGAGTGCTGAGCTGCTGTGGGTGTGAGGAAACTACAGAGGCCAGGGTGGGGCCATCAATACTCGGAACTCTCACAGTTCGTGAGTGGGCCTTGTCATCAGGCAGAATGAATACCGTCATACTTCACTGTGCAGTGGAGAACAGTCAGCCCAGGAATAAAGGCTGCTCTGGCTCCCTAACCAACCTGAGAAGCAAGATCCAGAAGTTTCACTGTTTCCAAGTAACTGTGTCCCAAAACACAGCTCAGGAATATTTACAGGAACACAGAAGTACACAGTGTCCAAAGGGTAAAATTCACAATATCTGGCATCCATTAAAACATTACCAGGCATGGAAAGAAACAGGAAAATATAACCCGTAATGTAGTGAAAAGTCTATCAAAACTGACTCAGATGGTAGGCTAAGCAGACAAGGGCATTAAAACAGTTATGATTATATTCCATATGTTCAAAAACTGAGGGAAATATTGGGCACATTAAGTACAGACATGGTAAAGTAAAGACAGTTGACTAAAGAAAAAATACAATTTAAACTTCTAGAGTTGGAACTGAACTGTCTGAATGTAAACACACTGGATGGGATTAACATCAGAATACACATCACAGAAGAAAAGATTAGTGAACTTGCAGACAAAACAGCAAGATTGATCCACACTGAAACAAGGAGGTGAAAGTACTTTTAAATAAACAAAAGCAAAAAAAGAGCATGACTGAGATATGGGACAACTGGCTGAGGGCTGATGTTTGTGTAATTGGAGTTCCCAAAGGGGAAAGGAGGGACAGAAGAACTATTTGATGAAAACTATAAACCTAGATCTAACAGTCTTAACAAACAAACCCTAAGCACAAGAAACATTAATAAAATTACACAAGGCGCATCCATCATTATCAAATTACTCAAAACCAGTGATCAAAAGTCTTATAGTTTGAGTTAATTTTTTTCTGATTAAGATACCTGTACCCACTGTGAGACCACAGACATTTTCTTCTACACTCTTTGTTTTACTTTTAACATTTAGATCTGCAGTTTATCTAGAATTGAGTTTTGGGACAGGTTCATATTTTTTTCTATGTTTATATGTAGTCAACACAACACTTTTGAAAAGTCCACCCTTTATCACAAATCAGGTGCATCAAATCTTGAGTGGCCCTGTCAGGGGCTGTGCTGTATACTTCACCCATAGGGCCACAGTAACACCAGGTGGCTGGTGGTGCCCCTGCTTGATAGCTGAGGGTATTACATCTCAGAGGCAGTGGGCAGCTTTCCTGGGGCCAGCTACTGAGGGGCTGGGTGCCTTCTCATTGGCAAGGGCTGGATCCCAGCTGGGGTTCAGGGGCAGGACCCAGGACCCAGGGAGCTCAGAAACTGCCTCAGGACTGGGTAGTCCTCATTCTTGCCAGAGCACTGGGCTGTGAAGGACTAGCTGGACTGTTATTGGTTCCTGAAAGCCAAAGGTGTAATAAAATGTTTTCTGAATGTATGTGCTAGTAATGCTCTCTCACAGGGCAGCACCTTCCCGAGTGATGCTGGAGGGGGCATTGTGATGATCCACTGAGACTGTCCACCTGGGTCCTCAGGAAAAGACTGCAATGTCCCAGACACAGGAATACGAATGTGAGAGCCATAATGCTGGCGTGCAGGAGCCTCGGATTTCAGGGTCGAGCACAAGGTGAGGAGAAGCCATCGGTGGTGCTAGGTTATCAGAGACTGGCTCAGTGGGGAGGAATTGAGACTAACCTGTGCTTGCTTCTGAATTTGGCATTTTCCCCTGGAAGCCCAGTCCCAAGGCATAGTCCCCGCTTCGTGCCGCAGACGTGAGACAGGGAAAGGCTTCTTCCTAGGCAGGTGGACTTGGCTGCCTGGGACAGACACCCTGCAGACCCTGAGACTGGGCCCCATTCCTGTGCCCTCTCTGGACATTGATCCACCCCCAAGGCAGGTAATCATAGTTCATCACTTTTATTTTTATTTTTTCTTTCATTCTTTTTTTATAAGTTTTAACTTTTTTGGAAATAATTTCACACTTACAGAAAAGTTGCAAGAACAGGAATATGTCCTCTGACCAGATTCACCCTTTGTGACCATTGTATGCCTCTCTCTTCCCTTCACAAACAGTGCTGTCTCTGCGTTGTCTCAGGCAGGTCACAGATGTCAGGGCCCAATGTTGGCTCACATCACCCAGGACATATATAAGCCTGACCCTTTAAAGAAGACCTAAGTGAGTGGATACACCATCTTTTGGGTGGAAGACTAAATCATCACAAAGGCTTCTGATTTCTCCTGGAATAGATACAACAAATGTGCCAACAGAGTTTGTGAGAGTTGGCAAGCTGATTCCACAATTCATAGGGGAAAACAGGGTCAGAAAGCCGGAACATGACTGAAGAAGCAGGATGTGGAGTCTAGGAAATTTTGCACCCAGTACAAAGCAACTGTTACTAAGACAATGTGTTGCTGGTCAGAGAAGTCTTCACCAGTAAGCCAATGGGGAAGACACAGCTCCATGACACTGTCCATCATAGAGACCCCTGGTGATCCACATGGGAGAAGGAGGCTTCACAAAGTAAACAAAAATCAGTCCAGGTAGATTAAGAATTTCAACATGAAAGGCAAAGATATACAACTTTGCAAATCAACTTAGAATATTTTTGACCTAGAAGTAGGGAAGATTTTTTTTTCTTTTTTAAGTTTTTTTTTTTTGTTATTCTCACTCGAGGACATTTTTTCATTTCTTGTTCAGATAGAGTGGGAGGGAGAGAGAGGAAGAGAGAGAGAGAGAGAAACATCGACATGAAAGGGACACATCGAGTGGCTGCCACCCGCATGACCAACCAGGGCCGGGGACAAACTACAACCGAGGTACACCCCTTTAGCGGGAACCGAACCCGGGTCTCTCTGGACCGCAGGCCGACACTCTAACCACTGAGCAAAACCGGCCAGGGCAGGGAAAATTTCTTAAACATGATAGAAAGAGGAGAAATTATGAAGAAAAAGATTTATAAATTCAACTATATTAAAATTAAAAGCTTTTCACCAAAAGGCAAGGTATCATAAAGAGAGTGAAAAGACAGTCAGCCGGTGTGGCTCAGTGGTTTAGCATCGACCCATGCACCAGGAGGTCACTGGTTCAGGACACTTGCCCAGGTGTGGGCTGGATCCCCAGTGGGTGGCATGCAGGAGGTGGCCAATTGATGTTCTCTCTCATTGATGTTTCTGTCTCTCTCTTCTCCCTCTCTCTCTAAAATCAATAAAGGAAAAAAAAAAAGAGTGAAAAGACAAGCCTCAAACAGGACAGAGATTTGTAATATATATAATTGAGAAGGATTGCCCTTGAGAACATATATATATATATAAAATATGTATATGTATATATTAAATACAACTGCAAACCAGTAAGAAAATATTTTAATAGGCAAAAGTCACATGTGTTTAGTAAAGGAGAAATATAATGGACTCATGAATATGAGAAAGATGCTTGACTTCATTAATAATCAGGAAAAATTAAAACCACACCAGCCGGTGTGGTTCAGAGGTTGAGTGTCAACCCATGCACCAGGAGGTCACTGGTTTGATTCCTGGTCAGGGCACGTGCCCAGGTTATGGGCCTGATCCCTATTGGGGGAATACAGGAGGCAGCCAAACTATGTTCTCTCTTATTGATGTTTTTATCTCTCCCTCTTCTTTCCTCTCTCTCTAAAATCAATAAAGGAAAAAAAAATAAAACCACATATATGAGAATTTATTATACTGATCTATTTTGGTGTATGTTTTAAAATTTACATTATAAAAAAATAAATAAAAAGGAGGAGTAATATAAAATTGTGGCAAATTCCACCAAAAGCTAACTTATTTAATTTTTTTCAGGTAGAGTGGGAGGGAGGGAGTGAGATAGAGCGAGACAACAATGTGAGAGACACACATCAATTTGTTGCCTCCCCCGTGACCCTTTGGTTCATGGGCCGATGCTCTAACCACTGAGCAACTGACCAGGGCAAAGGTAACCCTTTTAATACCCTTTCCACAATTTTCTCCACAAATGTACACATATAAACATTTGTGTGGCTTTTATAACTTTGTTTAGTTATTAATTGTGAAAGTCCTTTTCTGTCAAGTTTGGGTTCACTTTATTATTATTTTTTTGTTTGTTTGTTTGTTTTATCCGTTCAGGTAGAGTGGGAGGGAGAGAGAGGAAGAGAGAGAGAGAGAGAGAGAAACATCGATGTGAAAGGGACACATCGAGTGGCTGCCACCCGCACGACCGACCACGGCCGGGGACAAACTGCAACCAAGGTACATGCCCTTAGCGGGAACCGAACCCGGGTCTCTCGGGACCGCAGGCCAATGCTCTAACCGCTGAGCCAAATCAGCCAGGGCAGTTTGGGTTCACTTTAAAACACATCCTCACAAATAGGTACTGTTGACCATGCCCCCAAAACTTTAAAGATTGACATTGAAAGTCTCCTTTCTTGTGTGCTGTAGTAGAAAAATACACTATTTTATAGAAGATAATGTGTCTTAATTTTGTCCAATTACAGAAGTAATTTGTGAACATTGTAGAAAACTTGGAAATTATGGCAAAGTCGAAAGGTGTTGGGAGCATCTGAGAGCTTGCTTCCCTGCATGTCATTAGTTTGACTCAAATACATTCCTATAAAAATTCTCAAAAAAAATGAAAGAAAGGTGGCATGTCACATGGCAGCTGCCAGTGCTAACATGGCAGTCTTTTTGTTACAAGACACTTAAGACAGAATCCCGCCTCATACTAGAGGAAGGGAGGTGGAAGCAGGGTGCCAGCATGTGGCCAGCACCATGTACCGGCTGTTGCAGACAGGAGTCCCCATAATGCTAAAGTAGTGGGTGAGGCAATGGTGAGAAAAAGGCTGTTTGTACATGACAGCGTCCCACACAGCACTCCAGCAATGTTACTGTGGGGAAGCCTGGCCCCTTGGTTCTGGGGCGTGACCTTCAATGACTATGCCCTCCTGTCAGACCTTGACCCCTGCATGTGTTCTGTGGGGTACTAATTGGGGAATTGGGAGGGAGGCTATTTTTCCAACTTTTATATAAATTCTGAAGTTGTTTTTTTTATGGCCTGATTGTGCCATCTTCCCTTTAATTTCACTTTGTAAGTGAAGAGGAAACACTAATAAGCCTCAAGGTTTTATTGTGTAAGAGACAGGATGTCTTGCATTTGAAGCAGACAGGTGTGAGAAAGTACCCCATGCTGGATGCAGGGTCTGCAGGCGTGCCCAGTGGGTGGGTGCTCTCATTGGTGTCAGGGCTGGAGTGCAGGGCAGTTGCTGGACTTGCCACCTGCCCCCATACACTCATGCTGTCTGGCTCTTTCCCAGGCTGGAGTGGGTGGAGATCATTGAGCCGCGCACGCGCGAGCGCATGTATGCCAACCTGGTCACCGGGGAGTGCGTGTGGGACCCGCCCGCAGGAGTCCGCATCAAGCGCACCAGCGAGAACCAATGGTGGGAGCTCTTCGATCCCAACACTTCACGCTTCTACTACTACAGCGCCACCACCCAGCGCACTGTGTGGCACCGGCCGCAAGGCTGCGACATAATCCCTTTGGCCAAGCTGCAGACTCTGAAGCAGAACACTGAGTCCCCTCGCGCCTCAGCAGACAACAGCCCTGGGCGCGGCAGCAGCGTTAGCCGTGATGGAAGCACCAGCTCCTCCCTGGAGCCTGAGCCTGACACCAGCGAGAAGGGGCAGGAGCCTCTGGGGAGGAGCCGGCAGATGGCATTTGGGGCTGCAAAGGAGGAGAGTGGCAGGTGAGGCACAATGGAACAGGTTGGGGACAGGCTGGATTTCACCCGGGAAACCATAAAGCCATGGAGACCTGTTTTGCATAGTGGGTCCCTCTTGCTCCTCTAAGAAGGACACATAAGTACCTGGAAAGGAAAGGGCCATTTGGCCACCATCGGAGAGTGGGCAGTGCATAGTGTGGGCTGTGGGCACAGGCAGATTCCTGCATTTGGGGGCTGCACAGCTGGCCGTGGTGCTTCTGCATGGGATGGACACCTACAGGGGTCAGATCAGTGTGGATGCTGCGCACACACCCAGGAGATATCTGCTGCCTGGCAGATCTGAGTGGCTCCGAGTGGATGCCAGGGTGGTGCAGAAAACATACATTTTGTTGGTGTCAAGGCACTCAAAGGTAAACAGGAAAAGAAAGCAAGTGGGTCTGTGGGCTCGGGGTGACCCCTGATGTCCTCCAGGAGCCCAGACTGTGCTGCGGTCCACAGGCTATCCTGTGTTTCCTCTTACCCAGAACTCAGAAAACCGTGCATTTTTATTGGATTGTGGTGATTTTTAATTCTTTATTGATTGCTGACCCATCTATGTAATTAAGTGAAGGGTTTGGGTTCTTTTTTTTTTTTTTAATTAGTATTTCATATATATTGTTGTTCAGATAGAGCGGGAGGAAGAGAGAGAGAGAAACATCAACGTGAAAGGTACACATCGAGTGGCTGCCACCCGCACGACCCAACCAGGGCCGGGGACAAACTGCAACCAAAGTACATGCCCTTAGCGGGAACCGAACCCGGGCCTCTCTGACTGCAGGCCGACACTCTAACCGCTGAGCCAAACTGGCCAGGGTGGGTTTGGGTTCTTTTTTTTTTTTTATCCTCACCCTAGGACATTTTTCCATTTTTTGTTCAGGTAGAGTGGGAGGGAGAGAGAGGAACAGAGAGAGAGAGAGAGAGAGAGAGAGAAGCATCCACGTGAAAGGAACACATGGAGTGGCTGCCACCCACACGACCGACCAGGGCCAGGGACAAACTGCAACCGAGGTACATGCCCTTAGCGGGAACCAAACCCGGGTCTCTCTGGACCACAGGCCGACGCTCTAACCGCTGAGCCAAACCAGCCAGGGCAGGTTTGGGTTCTTTTAGGATTCTGTTGACAAATGTGTTTGTCATCCACACTCTGGGTACTGACCTGCAGAAGCTGTTCCTACCCTGCCTACCCCTGTACCCCTCCAGCCCAGAGACTAGCTGTCTTCAGGGGCAGAGTATCCTTTCTCCAAAAGCATCTTAGATGTTCTATGAAAAGAGATCACCAGGTTGGTGGGATCAGGACTTCCACAAGAAGCCCTATTTGGACGTGGATTAGAATTGTGTTGAATATATGGATCAGTTTGGGTGAAATGGACATCTTTGTTAGATTGTCTTTTCCTGTATGAAGATGATATCTTTTATACTTTTCTCCACAAAGGACTTGCATTTTTTTTCTTTAATCCTCACCGGGGATATTTTTCCATTAACTTTTTTTTTTTTCCAGAGTGAAAGGGAAGGAGGCAGAGAGAGAGAGAAACATCAGTGTGAGAGAGATACATCAATTGGTTGCCTCCCATATGTCCCTGATCTGGGCCAGGGTTCAAACCTTCAACCCAGGTACTGCCCTTGACTGGAAATTGAACCTGTGACTATTTCAAGGGCCAACACTCTAACTGCTGAGCCAAATCGGCCAGCGCAGGACTTGCATATTTTTAAGGTTTATTTCTAGATACATTATTAATTTTATAGCTCTGGCTCTTGTAAGTTATATCTCTTTCTTTTTTATTTTTCTTTATTGATTTTTAGAGAGAGGAAGGGAGAGGAAGAGATAGAAACATCGATGAGAGAGAACATTGGCTGCCTCATCCATGCCCTCCACTGGGGATTGGGCCCACAACCTGGACATGTGACCTGATTAGGAATCGAACCGGTGACCTCTTGGTGCATGGTTAGACACTCAACCACTGAGCCACACCAGCCAGGCATATCTCTCTTTTTTTTTTCTCCTCACCTGAGGACATTTTTGCATTTATCTTCAGATAAAGCGGGAGTGAGGAAGAGAGAGAGAGAAACATCAACTGGTTGCCACCCACACAACCCCAACCGGGGCCGGGGACAAACTACAACCAAGGTACGTGCCCTTAGCGGGAACTGAACCCAGGTCTCTCTGGTCTACGGGCTGACGCTCTAACCTCTGAGCCAAACCGGCCAGGGCCATATCTCTTATTTTTAAAGTCATATTTTCTGATTATCACTGGTAAGTAGACAATTGATTTTTATGTCAGTCTTGTTTTTTTCACTTTTGTTGAGTGCTTATTAATCTCATTAAAGATTCATTATCCATCTCCTGAGATGTTGGCCAGCTGTCCCAGGAAGGCCAGCACCCTGGCTTTGTCTTAGGGCTCAGGCTGTAAACCTGCTGTCCCGGTGACTCAGTGATGCTGCCCGCCAGGCTTGGGGAGCCCTCCTGTGGCTTTTCCCGTGAGTGGGTGTAGTGTTTCATCAAATATATGTTCTGAGTCTATTGATATTGGTGTTATAGGTTGAATTTTGTCCCCCTAAGCCCCAAAAAGATATGTCAAAGCCCCAAAAAGATATGTCAAAGTCCTAATCCTCTGAATGTGACCTTATTTACACATAAGGCCTTTGCAGATGTAATTACTTAAGATGAAGTCACCTGGAGTAGAGTGGGCCCGCATCTGGTAGGACTGGTGTCCTTATAAGAAGACAGAGACCGCCCTGGCCAGTTTGGCTCAGCGGTTAGAGCATTGGCCTGTGGTCCAGAGAGACCTGGGTTTGGTTCCCACTAAGGGCACGTACCTCAGTTGCAGTTTGTCCCCGACCCTGGTTGGGTTGTGTGGGTGGCAACCACTCAATGTGTCCCTTTCACGTCGATGTTTCTCTCTCTCTCCCCCTCCCACTCTATCTAAATAAAAAATGGAAAAATGTCCTCGGTTGAGGATAAAAAAAAAAGACAGAGACCAGGAAGAATATCCTGTGCTCAGGGAGGCAGGGACTGCAGCAATGCTTCTGCGAGCCAAAAGCTGTTTGCATCTGGGACAGTGTCCCTCAGGCCTCCAGAGCAGCCAGCCTGGTTGGCCCCTGATCTTGGACTTGTGGCCTCTAGATTGTGAGCATGGGTTTCTGTTTTAAGCCCCTATTTTGTGTGGCATTTTTAAAATTATTGTTATTCTATATTTCTTGCATTCCTGGGACACTCCATTTGTGTAATTTTGTAAATAGATTCAGGTTGCTAATGTTTTGTTTAGGATTTTGTCCATGTTGATCAGTAAAAATGGCCTTTACCTTCTTCCTCGTTCTGTGTGTGGTTGGTTTTCATATCCACTCTGGCAGCATTGCCTACGACTCTGTCCTCCCACCGTTACCTGGTTCTGTGGGTGTGGCCAGAACCTGTGTGCCATCGAGGCCAGTAGCTGTCTGCATAGATTTTTAAGTACTGATTCAATTTCTTTAATGCTTGCAGGAATATTTATAAAATGTTTTTCTATTAAATGGTCCATTTATGTGTTTATAAATATATTGGCATAAAGCTACTTATAGTGTTCTTTCTAATTTGAAATCTTGCCCCCTGTGTAACCCGAGGTTGTGCGCGTACTCTCCATTATTCAGCTTTGTCGGGAAATTTGTGCTTCACCAGTTTGTTCAAAGGACCACTTTTGGCTTCAGTGAGCTTCCCTTTTGTATTTTTGTCTTTTCCTTATTTGACTTTATTCTTCTTTATTTGACATTTTCTTATTCCTTCTTTAACTTACTGTGTTGGGAGCTTAACTCATTTGTTCTCATTCTAAAATGAATTTTTAAGGTAATAGATTTCCCTCAGCATACTGCTTTCATTTTATTGCACAACATTTGGCATGTAGAATTGTCTTTAGTTTTAAGTTTTTTCTATTTTAATTACGATTTCTTTTTTTACTCATTTGTAACTTAGAAATGGCTTAATTTCCAAAACTATAGGTTATTTTTTATTCATGTTCTTGATGGTCAACTTAATTTTATTTTGGTTACAAAACATCTTTTTTTTTTTCAATTTTTATTAATTTATTTTTGTTATAGATGTTTCTCCTTTTTCTCACACCTTCCTCCCCATCCCACCGCCCCCCAACTCCCCAGCATTGTTGTCTGTGTCCATTGGTTATGCATACATGCATATAAATTCTTTGTTTCATCTCATACACTCCCCCACCCCCCTCCTCTAAGGTTTGTCAGTCTGAACCATACTCTTTTCTATGTTTCTGGGTCTATTTCATTCATCAGCCCACCTTGTTCATTATATTCCACAAATAAGTGAGATCATGTGGTTTTTGTCTTTCTCTGATTGGCTTATTTCGCTTAGCATAATACTCTCAAGGTCCCTCCATGTCGTCTCAAAGGTTAAGAGATCTTTCTTACAGCTGCATAGTATTCCATTGTGTATATGTACCACAACTTTTTTCATCCACTCATCTATCGATGGACACTGTTTCCAGATCTTAGCTATTGTAAATAGTGCTGCTATGAACATAGGGGTACATATATTCTTTCTGATTGGTGTTTCAGGCTCCTTAGAATATATTCCTAGAAGTGGGATCACTGGGTCAAATGGCAGATCAATTTTTAATTTTTTGAGGAAACACCATTCTGTTTTTCATGGTGGCTGCATCAGTCTGCATTCCCACCAGCAGTGTACTAGAGTCCCCTTTTTTCCACACCCTCGCCAGTACTTGTTGTTTGATGATTTGTTGATGGCAGCCATTCTGACAGGTGTGAAGTGATACCTCATTGTTGTTTTAATTTGCATCTCTCTGATGATTAGAAATGTTGAGCATTTCTTCATATGTCTCTTGGCCATTTGTATGTCCTTTTTGGAGAGGTGTCTATTTAGATCCTCTGCCCATTTTTTTTTTTTTTAATCTTTGCCTGAGGACATGTTTGCATTTATCTTCAGATAGAACAGGAGGGAGGGAGGGAGGAAGAGAGAAAAGAAACATCAA